CTATCTGCTATCCTGTTCTGCCTTCTCTTCCTAACACGTAACTGGTGGACATAACCGGTATTGACACAGGAACACACACGGTTATAACAGTGGCGGCGCAGGTGAGATCTACCAACGATATAACTGGTGTTGACACAGGAACACACTCGGTTATAACAGTGTTGACTCAGGTGAGATCTACCAAGGATATAACTGGTGTTGACACAGGAACACACTCGGTTATAAGAGTGCAGACGCAGGTGAGATCAACCAAGGATATAACCGATGTTGACACAGGAACACACTCGGTTATAACACGAGGGGGGTGGCAGGGAGTGTTCAGATGGTGTTTGGACAGCTGTGACAGCCGTGACCGCCTGGAAGCCCGTATGTCCGAGTGACGGTTGTTCAAATGGCTTCAAGTCAGGGAATCTGAAACCGCTCACTGCGCGGTTGATGGATCTTGAGGCAGTAGACCTTGAACAAGGGCGCCGGACAGGTTGGCCGTGGGCTATAACCCAAACTTAATGAAAGCACTCCAAAAGGGGCCTCCTACGAACGGAAACCCGATGCTCTCAGTGGCCTTACCTCAGCGGAAAACTGTGCCCCTTTTATGAATTTCAACTGGTTGTTTACTAGCACCTTAACTCTTAAAATTTTGTGAGGTTGCGCAGAGAGCGAGGGCGAAAATGTGCAGACGGCTACGTCGTCATAACAGCGTTGCAAGAGCAGACATTTACGATCATAAAAACCTGACTTATTCCATTCATACAAGGGGATAATAAATCATGGCAGGAAATACACTTCTGAACTAGCACGAACATATGCTGCCATCCTGACAACTTTCAGCACGCAAGCCCCGACTAGACCAATCACCATCGCCAAGTGGCAGTACAATCGCCACTGCTGTGCCTCCAAAGTCAGCACTCAGAGAAGACGTCAAGAGCTGGCTGTGTGCTGTTAGAGCACTATTATGTCTTCCCGATATTCTACCGTCGCTTTTGACTCCATACGAGATCTCTTCGTGGAGGTTCGTCGTCTGGAGACTCGCCGTTCTATCTGGCGTTACGAGAAGGACAAACGGAAGCGCCAGGAGGAGCGCC